TTAAAAAAAGGTAGTTAAGGAACCTCTCATCTACATGCTCACTTTTTTGCACACAATATCAGTCCTACAGGAGGTGAGCAGAGTGCACTGCATGATGCTTTCTCACTTGAATCTGGTTTTATTGTGTTGTTGGGTTTTTTTAACCACAAATTATATATCCAGTCTACAGGAGTGACCGTGGAAGTAAGTATGTGTAAGCCAGCTAGCCAGTCAGCCTGTCTGTCTATCATCTATTCATCATCTATCATCTGTCTATACCCTGCAATGATCTCTCATTAGAAGAGAGAACACATAATAGAGAGCAAGATTTTCCTTCCTATACAGAAAACAAACTGAAGTAAATAAATAGTGCAGGCTGATGTAATTGTTGTTTGAGGGGAGGCAGTCCTACTCTCTGCTCCTAGGTCATAAATATCTAGAAAAGGCTGATGAAAACACCAGTAGCTGGAATGCTGCTGACTTGCCTAACTTTTATTTCTTAAATGATTTGCAACATCTCTTTTTTCAGTGTCTCAGAGAAAGAGTCCTCCTTACCAGGGCTCTCTGCCTATACTTTTGAAACCATTCCTTCTTACCTGCTTTCAAATCTTGCCCCATCAATTTCCTGCTTTCTCTCCTAAAATTTTTAGTCACTCCCTCTCCTGTGAGGTCCTGCTTCTCTTTTTTTCTTTTCTTTTCTTTTCTTTTTTTAACTTTTTTAAAATAGCAGTTTTAGTTTTACAGAGAAATTGAGCGGAAAGTACAGATAGTTCTCATAGCCTCCTCCCACCCACATATTATTATTGACATGTTACATTAGTGTGGTACATTTGTTATAATTATGAATCAATATTGATATATTATTGTCAACTTAATTTTATATTAGGGTTCTCTCTCTTTGCATTGTACAGTTCTATGGGTTTTGCCTAATGCATAATGTCATGTATTAACCATCACACTATCATACAGAATAGTTTTGCTGCCCTAAAACTCCTCTGTGCTCCACCTATTTGTCCCTCTCTTCCTTCCCCCTCCTTCATCTCCTGAAATCCTGGCAACCACTGATTATTTTTTTCCACTTCCTCAAACATTTATCATTTCTTTGTATTGAGTATATTCAAAATCTTCTCTTCTAGCTAACTGAAACTATATAATAAATTGTTGTTAATTATAGTCACCCTACAGTGCTATAGGACACTGGCTATTATTCCTCCTATCTAGCTGTACTTTTGTATCCATTAACCAACCTCTTACTGTGCCCACTACTCCGCCCCTTTCCAGCCTCTGGCCGCTGCCATTCTACTGTCTACTTCTATGTGATCAACTTTCTTTACTTCCACATATGAGTGAGAGCATTCAGTATTTCTCTTTCTGTCACTGGCTTAATTCACTTAACATAGTCCTCCAAGCTAACCCATGTTGCCAAAAGTGACAGAATTCCATTCTTTTTCATGGCTGAATAGTATGCTGTTGTGTATATATACCACATTATCCATTCATCTGTTGATAGACACAAGTTGATTCCACACCTTAGCTAATGTGAATAGTGCTGCAATAAATTGGGAGCACAAATATCTCTTCAATGTACTGATTTCTTTTCCTTCAGGTGATGTCCTGCTTTCTCATCAAGTTTTCCCATTCCAAAAAATCCCAGCTTCAAAAAACAAAAAGGAACTCTATCTTACTCTCAATTCTCCCTGACTCAATTCCTTTCTTTATTGTTGAATGAATCTGTTGAGAAAGTCATCTACACTTGCTGTCTTTACCTAAATTTCTTTACTCCTCAGTATACATTAACAATTTGTATATTCACTGTTCTTATGAAGTGGCTTAATGTTATCAAAGGCTTCTTCATTCCCAAATGCTGTGGATTCTTCCTTGATCTTATGAATCATTTGCCATTGGTGATTCCTCTCTCCACCTGCCCTGTTGCTTCATGTTTTGGGGTACCTCTCTCCTGACTCTTCACCTGTTTTTCTAACACTTCCTTTTAAGTTCCCTTTGCCAGTCCTTCCATTGTCTATTCCTTATATGCTATATTCCACTGTACACACTTTCTGGATAGTCTCATCATCTTATGATTCAAAAATGTCATCCTGAGTTCCGACTTTCCAACCAT